GTTTCATTTGAGAGCGAGACGTTAAATAGTCTATTTATTGGACTAATTCATTTTCTGCTCTCCCATCTAACTCTCTATTCCGCCACTAGTTTCCTCAATCGCGTAATCACATCTTCCCCGCTGACCCAAGGCACTGTGACCGCCTTGAACTCCCCGGGCATGGCTTCGTGGGTTTCTGTGATGAGCCGGTGCATGGGGAAGTCCCTGCGTGGGAAAGCCACGTCTCGGGGCCCGAGCGAGAGCGCAGGACAGAAGTCGTTGGCCCCATCCCCTACATAGAAGATCCTCTGGTAGGGGCGGCCGCGCTCCTGCGTCCTGCGCGCCACGTAGTCCCTGACGACCACTTGCTTGCACATGTTGTCCGGGCACCGCTGGCACTCGTGGGAGTGGAAGGGCCGCAACACCAGCCGACCGTTCTTGTTGAATGTGGCCGGGTTGGTGAAGATCCGGTGGAAGAGCTGGCGCACCCCGGCGCGTCGAAGCCAAGACTCGATGAAGAAGGTGTTGGCGTCAGACACCAGCACCACCTCAAAGTCATGCGCCGACCGGTTGCGCAGGAACTGGAAGAGGGTGAGCATGCCGGGGGATGCGGGGATCTTCTCCATGATGCTGCGCAAGTCGCTCTCGGTGACGCCCTGCTCCGCCAGGTAGGCCAGTACTCGCTGCATGTACTCGTTGTAGCGGCCGGGCTGATAGGTGTCCTTCAGCCAGCCGGGCAGGTACTGACCCGGGGCGGCCTGCACCACCATGTCGTCGCTGGTTTCATCCACGATGGTTTCATCGAAGTCAAAGAAGATTATGAAGCGTTTGTCCGGGGAGATGGAAGAAGAATGGGAGGCCATGATGCCTGTGTGCCTGGACCGGTGCTGCTCCTCTTCACCTGGGGGCTGTGGGGGGACATAACAGCAGTTGAAGACTGAATCCCCCATGACTGACCAGCTCCACTCCCCTATGTCCCACAGATGAGAATAATAAATAACAAAAACAATAAGTAAATCATAACTATATAATGTAAAACTTTTAAGGAATCAGGAAGGACTAAGGACTGATTAAATAGCACAACTGCAAATTGCAAACCTATGCAAATGGAAGCAAATTCTTATGTATATTTTGCGAACAAAGCTGTTAAACTGGGTCCCATACCTTGAATTGCGCCCACGGATCTCTTCACCTGAATCGCAGAGGCTTTCAAATTGTGCGGCTGGCCGAACCTGTGTGTGGGGAACAATTGGAGTATGGAGTTGCATTAAAAGGCAAAGGAAGAAAGTATTACGCTTTCAATTGGAAAACTAGAGGAACGACTTAATAAAATAAGTCAAAGGCCAAATGGAAATGAAATAATGACGTGCAAAATTGGCTGATATGAATTTTAAGCTGGTCTAAATTATCTAAACGATTTGTCGACCTATTCTCAGGCAAAATAATAAAAAAAACATTATTTCTTCAAAGTATAGGTACCAATCATTGCAGGCAATCTAAACGCTATTCGAAGAAAAAAAAAATCTAATAAATCACAATAAGCTCTAGCTTTTTTCAAATATTTTAAAAGCATATTTAAATTATGATTTAAGTCAGAAAAAGAAGAAGGTTAAAGCCATAAATGCATCACCAGCACTGGCTCCGATCCCCCGTTGTCAGGTTCAATCCGGTCTCTTTGGTTACAGAAGGCAGAGTTACAGCAGCAGCCGACCCGCGGCTCACGCACTTTTATCTGCGGAGCCGCTGTGAGCGTGCCCGCGGATTCAAGTCCGCCCATTTAATAGCAGCCCACAGTGCGCGTTCACGGCACTTTCATGAGATGAGAGGGTATAGGCAAAGAAGAGAGAGGGGGAAGGAAAGCAGGAATATTCTGTTGGATGAGGGTTCTACATATTCAAAGATCCACGTTTTTGTTTTTCCAAGTGTCTACGGTACATGTAGCCTTTTATGTAATCTGTTCTTGTTCAGCAGATTATCAGCTTTATCTCTTGGTGAAACATTTACAGTTCCTTGCAACAGTATTTTTGAACTTTTTCACATTTTGTCCCTCTGAGTCGAGTCTTAGAACAGCTATCTATTGGAATCATAGCTTTATTGGTTCAGCTTTCCGCATCCAGAAACTAGAACTATTTTGACATTTTACTTTGCAAGATTGTCCAAATTTAGATTGGAGAGTCTCTGAAACCATCAGTTTAAATATCCATTCGTTTAAGGTTTGGAGCTTTGGACATGTTTTCATCAAAATCACGTGAAAGGGCCGCTCTGGCCTTGTTATAAGTCTTTTGCTGCCTCCAGCAGGTTGAGTTCCAGGATTGCCCTGTACTTAAATCCACCACTAAACTCTGACCAGATGTCCAGACTCTACTGAAAAAGACCACCCAATCAGCATGTTTTAACATTGTGCCAGTCTTTTTATGGTGAAATGTTTTGGATGTTGGCCAACAGATTTCATTTTGATCACTTCTGTAGAGCACATTCCTCAAGTTTGTTAAATCAAACTGCAAACAAGGGCTCTCATAGCTTTATTCTTACCACTCTTCAATATAGAATACATTTTGTCAATTGAGCAACTAATTGTTTCACCTGAGCTGTAGACCATTTGAGTTCCTCCAGAGTTACTGCAACTAATGAATTCCTTTAATTGTCAGTGTAGGCGGACGGCCACATCTTAGAAGATCTGCAAAGGGTTACCCTAACCCTAACCCTCTTGCCTTTCTCTGATAATTGATTGAATAGCAAAGTAATGCCTGAGCTTCTAGGATAGTTATTCTATGGTCAACTGTCTCTCAACTGGCCACAAGTTATTTAACCCCAACTGAGACAATGAGTAGCTTCTCATTTCTTAAACAGCCATGCAGAAAGACATCTTGTGGTTGTGGAAAAGATGTTGGTCTGTTCAAGAAGGGTCAACCTATTGGTGTCAAGCAGAGAAAACATCTAAGGTGATTGCAGAAACTACAAAAACTGGGCTAACAGTTGTCTAAGAAGTGATGAGTATGTTCGTAAGGATGTTTGTCACTTTTTTATACTGAGAAATGTACTATTATTCAAGCGTCTTCTGAAGACAGTTGGTTTCAATAGACTTTACTTTGGGTATTTCAGTAAAGGACGCTGAATACAAATGCACACACCCCATACTTCATAAGATAAACATAGTTATTTTATTTCCACTTGACAAGTATGTCAAATATGGAAAAGGATGGGCTGTATAACTTTTGTTTGGGCGAGCACAAAAAAACATGTAGATCAGATTTGCAGAAAAACATCCTTTAACAGGAAGCAGTTCCAGTTTGGAGGCTTGTAACCTAAGTAATAAAATCTGTTCTGGTGCTATAAGAGATAAAAATTTACAACACTACTTTTAAATGTTGCCGTAAAAAACCCGCAGTGATTTCAAAAATCAATCTTGGCCTCCTTTTAGATTGCTGATCTATATTTAGTTCAGCGGGGCCATTTTAACGGTAAAATGCTTCGAGTCTGTTGTGAAGGCAGGACAGGGATGGCTTTCGTTGTTGGGTTTCACATTTGAGGAGATGACTGGATAGAAATGATTTAAAAGTAATCAAAATCTGAAATAAGGTTATGTTTCCATTTACTAACTACAGAGAAACATCAGTATCGCAGCAAGGGAGACCATGTTTGTTGCTTGTTCCTCCTGATAAGACCCTGCAAGTATGCTGATTAATGAAGCACACAGAACGAACAAACGGCTGGGAAACGCGACGTGAAGCCCCCTTCTCTTTATCTGCCTGCCGACAGACGCAGCCTCCTCCCTCCTCGACACCAGAAGGCGTAATGACTAACAGCTGGGGAGGCCGACTATTTTCAAACCCAAATGGGAATGGAGATGTACAGACGGCGTGTTATTATCTCCTCTGCTCGTGAAGTGAGCCCCGGTACCTGGCCACCCACTCACCAACAGTGAGTCACACACACTTTTCTCTGCACCCATCGGCCTGTTCTGCTACCTATAGGATTATGTGACTCATTGAACGCACCTGGTAAAGAGAAAGCAGGTATTCTTCCAGCAATAATGCGTCCTAAGAGGAGGGAAACACTACACACCAATGAAACTTGAAGACTTTTTGGTATTTACGAAGATGATGACCTAAATTGAGGGACTATCCTGTTAATTTACCCACAATGGAAAGATTAGTAGAAGATTAGGGGTGTTAATAGTAGTAAAATCATGTCACAATTCTCAGATTCAGTGCAAAGAGTTGGTAAAATGTTATACCAAAATCGCAGTGAAACTAAAAGAAGGCAGGAAAAAGACCAGAGCTGAAGCAAGAGTGGCATCAATCAGCAATAATCCACGCTGGAGCAAATCTCAGTTTGAAACATACTTAAACTGAAGCACACAATCAGGAACATGCTGTTCCCAATCAATATTTTTCATGTTCACAATAAAAAGAAAGTAGACATCTTTTTTAGTACAAAATGACCTGCTCTAAAAGCACCAATTCAACCTGAACAGATTCAAACATTTCATAGATTAAAAAAAAAAGAACAGTCTGTAAAAACTAAATAGCCAATAATTCAATAGCTTCAAGAAAGAGTGAGCAAGTGTTTTCTGTGTGACTTCAGTTTCTCACATCACCCTATGTTTGTGACAATTCAGCTTCAGTTTGCTGCGTTTGCAGGCAGTTATTTATGCACACCTTTCTAATATTCCTGCTGCTGCATTTCAAACGTTGATTTAATTATTTTTTTGGCATCTTGTTGAAGATCTGCTGCAGTTTTTATTTTTTTATCTTTGTCCCATAGATAGAGACTCTTTGGGTCATGCTTTAGCCGCCTGCTAACTTCCGCAACTAACGGCAGCTTCATTAACTTTTAATAAATAAATGTGGATTTTTTTTAAGTTCCTTTTGAGCTCACTTCTACATCAGATATGTTATTAGGCCACAATACCTGAAGCCCTAAATTAAGTGCCAGTTTTGTCCAATATACTCTTCTCTGTACAGCAAGGATTTCAAAGGATGGAAAAAAGGAAAAAAAAGGATCCAAGGAAACAAATATCATGGCTACGAGTTTTTACTTCAAAGTTAGCAGTCAGTTAAATGTACATTATCAAAAAAAGGCCCAACTTTTTATCACTTATCCTCAATCTCCAGAAAACATACAAAAAGGACAAAACAGGACATTATAAAGCTGCACATTTTGTACCAGATACAATAATAAAATACGCAATGCTACATTAAGTGGTTAAAAATACAAAGGGGAAAGAATATTGATTTTTTTGTTTAAAACATCTTTAAAGAATATACAATGTTATTTTTTTTAACTACTCAAGGATTTTAGTAGAAAGTGCATTCTATATAACAAAGAAAGGAGGAGGAGAATCATTCTGCAACAGAGAAAATGGACACAACGGGAAAAAATAAAATAAAAATGACGAACGTATTTCCAATAATACATGGAGGGGCATGTGTGATGGCGCAAAAGCAGCAGGATCATCATTTGTACTTTGAAGGAAAGGTCCACATTGAAGGCTATTTTTTCTCAAAATGAAGTTAAGTACATAGATGTGTATATTAGCTATGGTCCCTTGCACACTGTCCACCTCCACCTCAGATTCTCCTCCTTTCCTTGCCAAAAAAAAAAAAAAAAAATCCACTCAAAAGTAAATCGCCTCCAACCATTTCCCATACAGTCACAACTGCATTCTGCTCCACAATGCATTGTCACCCCCTCCCCTAACCCCGTTCCCTGCGCATCACCCACGCAGCAGTAAAGTGCAGAGAATAACAAAAGGCTTTAAAAAAAAAAAAAAGGAACAATACAAGACTGAAAATACCCCTACTGCAAAATCCTGAATCCCAGCAGTGAGCCTACAGAGATTGAATGATAGCAAATAATATTGCAGCAGTATTTAAGACGCACAGAGATGGCAGGCTAATTGCAGGCCTGGCGCTAAACTACTGAACTTAACCACTTCAGACTACCATCAGAATGACAGGATGGGTTATTTTATTCCTATTGTCCGCCCCCCTCCCCGTTTACTCCTCTAATGACACATTATTGGGACACATTGTAAAAGCAGCTTTGGGTAAGAGACCAAACTGAGACCAAATGCATGGAACAATGCACTCTCAATGCACCATCAGTCTGAGGTGACAAGAACAGGGAAGATTCAGACCAAACACAAGCCCACAGCTTCTGCTCCTTAAAAACACCAGACATGCACCTATTGGCCAACGGAAGAACCCCAGTTTCATGACATTTTCTGACCACTGCCTCCTATCCTGACATTTCCTATCATGTGCTGACAGTACATCAGCAGTTGAAACCAGATTTTACATACACAATATAAAAATGTGTTTTTACCCTCTCACCGTTAGTCATTAAATCAAACTAAGCTTTTACCATTTTAGGTCAGTAGTGATGGATTTTGTTTCCATGTATTGAGTTTTTTAACATCAGAAGTTTTACATTAAGGTGACTTCGCTTTTAAGCTATTCAGGATTTATTGTTAAATTGTTAATTACCAACACTAGAGTTAAATGGAGGCTCGCCTGAGGATGTATTTTAAGGCAACCCCTCAAAAACACAACTTCCTTTTATGACACTACAGAAAATTGAAAGAAATCAGGAAGAGAGTTGTGGAGCTCCACTTGATTCACTTTTCCAAACTCCCTAAAGGTGTAAAGTTCATCTGTTCAAACAGCTTTATGAAAGTATAAACACCATGGAAATGTTCTGCCATCAAAGTGCTCAGAAGTCGGGTAGCTTCTATATATGACATGCAAGAATCAACCCAAGATTGTTGTTGAAACTGCTCAGAAATGGATACGTTTCGAAACCTGTCTTATTGTTTAATAAAACAAAAATTCTAGCCCCAAAATTATCTTTGAATAATTTTCTAGAAAAAAAAAAAAAAAAAAAAAAAGGGAAGCTTGCTAGCCAAAAACCCACAATCCCAACTGTGAAGTATGAGAGTGGCAGCATTATGTTGTACTTTAAATTAGATGGCATCTTGAAGAAACATCATTATGTGAAAACACCGAGGTAGCATTTAATGACAGCTGGGTAATGACTGTCAGCATCCAAAACAGCAATTAAGTTGCTTAAGGACGACAAATTGCGAGTTTCGGAGCGACCGTTGTAAAGCCGCAATCTCAGGCCCACAGAAAACCTGTGGGAAGAGCTGAAAAGGTGACTGAGTAACAACGTCTGTCGGCAAAATTCGTACAGTTCCACCAAATACCAAGGAGAATTAAGCAAACATCTAAATTTGAAGAAATAATAAAAGGATCTCAAAGAAGCCCCATTTCATTTTTCTAGTAGTTCTTACATAGAAATCATTTTTGTAATTTTAAATCTGATCTAAAAACAGGAAAAGTTTGTCAGAAGATGAGGAATAAAAATTATCCTTTTATTCAGTGTATGTAAAGATCTGATGTTAACTGCATGTGACGGCTGTTCATTAGCTTAACAACTATGTAAATAATCTGAGAACATGAAACAAGAATGACCTATAAACCATCATTCTGCTTAGGCGACATTCAACAGGTTTAGACATGCGCTGGTCTTTGTTGACCAAAGTTTGTCAGTACAGAAAGTAAAAAAAAAAAATAAAATAAAATAAACGTCTAGCCTCTACATTACAACACCACCCCACACCAAACCGTGGAATACAGGCTGAGGAATAATGCATAATATACTGTTAAGAGCTTCAATGAAAAAGGTCCCAGTTGTGTATACTCTGTGTGTGTGTGTGTGTGTGTGTGTGTGTGTCAGGCGACCTTTAACATGGTAACCCGTATTGTTTGAACAGCAGCAAAGGGAGGTGGGGATAAAAAATAAAATAAAGTAGAGGACAAAAGCAGACGGGGCCACATGTCTGGCCCCTCACAGTGGCAGTATTATTCGACAGTCATTCATTTTCTAAAAGCAAACGTTGACCAACAGTCCTGTAAGCTGAGGTGGTTCTACTGGTCACTGTAGGTAAATCAGTGACCGTGTGTATGCTTGAACGTGTGTGGTGTGTGTGTGTGTGTGTGTATGTGTGTGCCTGGGGCAGATCCTGTTTAATTAAAGTCATCTCGATCACAAAATATCAAGTCAAACATTAATTTCACTGCAGAAAAGCCAGGCTGAAAGGACACAAATTTCCCCCCCCACACACACTTACTAGATTAGGTTATGAAAATTGAATTAGAAAGCAAAATAAGGACTTTTTAAGTAATGGAATGGAAAGCACCATCTTTACGGGTATAAATCTGAGACTTTGTCTCGATTCAGTTTAATTTACAAAGTAGTTAAAAACTAATCTCTCCCATTTCACTGTAACCTATGGCACTGCATTTTACTCTACTGCTGTTTGCCCCCTGACTGACAGCCCTAAAGGGACAGTTCAAACGTTTTGAACTGAGGTTCTGTGAACTTATCAGTAATTGTTGCCTTAGCTGTGGCAGACAGATGTCATAGCATTGTGAGTTTGCAAAAATAGTGAAGAAATAATTAGAGCAGAGGAAAACTAACAGCTTTTAGCTGGTTTTAGCAATTACATTTGCAAGAATATTTAGACCCAGTTGGCATTGTTTAAAATGTCAAATTGGACATTTAAAATGAAACAAAAATATGGTCAATTTGTGGCTCTGATTTCACAAATGTGCAGTTTTTACACAAGTCCAAGTCTTGGTGTACCTTTCACACTGATGTTTACAGAAAATGAGAGCCTATCTGGTATCTGTATGTAAATCCAATGCTAATCACTAACAATTATGACATCCACAGAAATCAATTTTGCTTATGAATCAGGAGAAGATCTTGTCCACACAAATTTAACTGGAACAATTTCTCATCATGTATATCCAAGTGTGCTATGTGGAAGACAATTTCCTTGAGGGAAAATCCCAAAGGGATTAATAAAGTTTCCAATCCATCATCTGAATGATCAACAAGTTATATCAAAATATGCTAACGCTAATATTAGCCAGCCATTTCAGTAAACCCATAACCACTCCTTATGCATTACTTATCAAATTTAGAAAATCTTAAGATAATAAACAGTTTTAGGGGGGAAAAAGTTATTTTGTGAGCTAGTAAAATATTGCTCATCACTGGACGGTTACATTAGAGTTGCAATATTGGCAGATCGTGTTTAACTGATCACAAGTTAACTCAAAATAATTTCCAAACAGCTAAACAGTGGTACGTCTGCAAAACTGACAGTTTGATGCAAAACCAAAATGCTTCGTTCTTGGCAGACTTGGAGCAGACCAATCAGTTGGAGATGATGAGGCAGCCAGAGAGACTCAAATAATGCAATTTTGCACTAAAACAGGGACATTTTTCAGTGAAAAAACACAGAAGTATTCTGAAAGAAACTTTTTCTGTTTGTTTAACATAGCTCAAATCTGTGGACTTGTCTTCTTAGCAGTTAGCCTAACTGCCAAGAAGTTAAGAAGAATGTTCATGTTTACACAAACTCATTTCAATATGACATCTGTCTACTACAGGTAGAGTATCTACCTGTAGTTTATAGCACAGAACACTGCTATAAAAATCTAAACTGTCCCTTTAACATTGGCCTCTGTACAGTAAAAAAAGGCTCAGGTAGAACCAGTTTCAACATTCATTAAACATTTGTTTGCCCATGAGGTTTCTGCACTAGAGCTTGGAGAATAAGTACAATATTGCTATGGGGATGAGCGGCACAGAAAGCTCATGTCCTGACTAATGTATGACCTTGAGTCAAATTAACAAAATACAAAGAAGAGGGAAGTTCAGTGAAGCAGATCTTTGAAGATCCAGGGAGTCTAGGTATTATGGATTTTGAGTTCCATCAGCAGCTTTTATTTGTGATGAAAACCAGTTTCCACCCATTAAATGTGGAGAGAGATGTTCACACAGAGTCGTTTTCTGAAGAATAATTCCTAGCGATTGTAAAACCTTTGCCGGGTTGAACAGTTTTTTAAAGTGATGTCTCACTTAATGCGTGCACGGATGGTGCAACAGTTTCAATCCTTAATGTTTATGAGTTTAGATTAATTCTAGTCGAGCCACGTCTACGCAGGAAACCTCCATTATCTGATGGAACATGTATGCTCCCTTTTCATCTCATCCTGCTGTCTGCAACAAACTCCTCTCTGCAGACCCGGCTTCCAGTTCCTGCGATTGAGAAACTGAGGCGGAGCTTTAAGAAGACAAATAAGGTGTGGTTTGGTGTTCCACAGGTTCAGTGGTGCTGTGGCGCTCCAGGACCTTTGTCAAGGGGGGCCATGTGGTGCAGGTAGCTGCTATCTTCATGCCCACAGTGGTTAAGCGGCTCGCTCTTGAAAAGAGCAGGAGGAGGGGGGAGGTGGGCGACAGGAGGGACCACCAGGTGATGGTGGCTGTGAGGATTGGCCTGCTGCGGCGCGTTGGAGAGATGATGATGGGAGGGCGCAGAATGGAGCTGCACATGGGAGAACGTGTGTCCGACGGGGCCCTGCTGCGGAACGGGCCCTCCGGTTGGGGCGAGGCCCAGAGAGGCTGAGGTGGTGGCGGGGGTCGCCGCCGAGGGCCCGGGGACGGTGGTGGGAGAGGAAGAGGAGGAGGCGGGGGAGGAGAAGGCGTTGGCGAAGAGGCGGACAGGCACAGAGGAGCCGCTAGTCTGCAGGACCACGGGGCTGGTGACCCGGAAGCACTTCTCCTTGTGAGCTTTGAGCATGTTGGAGAAGCGGAAGCGCTGGCCACAGACCTCGCAGGGGTACGGCTTCTCGCCCGTGTGCGTGCGCCGGTGGCGCTTCATGTTGGGCCGGCTGGTGAAGCTCTTCCCACAGATCTCACAAATGAAAGGCTTCTCTCCTGAAAGACAAACAGGATGATTAATTGGAGTCAAATAATTTTAGAGCTGCAACTGACAACTATTTTAGTTATTGATTAATCTATTGACGATTATTGAAACTGCAGTCTTTAGATTGTTAATTTAAGCCTTTAGGTAATATTAGAAATGCATGAAAAGATGCACATAAAATTTTTTACAGATTTTTTTAAAATAAAGAAAATAATTTCATTTTCTAAAATGCAACATAGCATTACTTTAGTGTATGCTTGATTATGTGCAGCAAAGGATGCAACTGCAACTAAAAAAAGTACTTCTAACATTAACATGTGAAAAGCTAAGCACTTTCTGCTTGTTTTTATCTTTTTTTTTTACAGAATTTGAACTAGGTGAAGCTATTTTTTTGTACATTTTTGGCTTAATTACTCCTCTGAGAATGTTTTTTCAGCAAATAGTCTTTTTTGGGTCTGTTCACTTCAGTTAACAATTAATCGATTAGTAAACAAGTCTACGATTATTTCAATAATCGATTCAGCATCGTGTCAGCCCTAAATCATCTGCTGTCAAATGTGCTGTTAAACTTTCAAACAATTGAAGCATTTCACACAAAGTTTCCTTTTCAACTTCAGCTCTGAGAATGCAAATAAGCCTCCATCTTGAATCGAGGGTCTCTGCCGTCAACCCACCCACTCCCCAGGAAGCTATTACAATTCACACTTCGAGGATGGAGATGTGAAAATGAACAACAGCAGTCCCGTTAGAATGCTGCTCTCATTAACCTCCCTCCACGGAGCCACTAAATGTGCCTGTTACCACCCACACAGCCATCTATTAACAGCCTGCTGAAGGGCTCTCCAAATGCCGGATTCTGGCACGTTCCACGCGAAGCTCCTCCACGCCAACTGAATATCAAAAGGTGACAGCTGATGTGCCAGCGTTCTGTACCTGTTACGTTTAATCATGGGAATTTACAAAAAAAGAATCAAAGTTTGGTTTATTACAGAGCACGGCTGGGTGTGTCTCCTCCTGGACGAGGCTAAATTGGTCGGTAGCTGCAGGGATACGAGGGCAGCGTAATTACACATCACAAATATAACCTTGAGGGCCAACTGAGTGTGGCGTGTCCACCCACAGCTCAGGAAAAACAGCAGATGACGCGCAGGCATCAGTGCTTGGGCTGTTCTTAGAAAATTGGTGAAACATGAAGGAAAAAAAAAAAAAGAAAAAAAAAAAAAAAAAAAAAAAAAGAAGGTTTTCACGTTTTTTTGTTCGGGGTTATTATTAAAACCCACAAAAATGGGCGAGTT